GCTCTCAGGCCGTTAGTTATTAATAATGGAAGTATCTCTTGGTTCGAGATGTTAAGAGACATCAACTTTGAATAATGAATCTTGAATTTTTTCATTAATTCTTTCGTGCCTTACATTATTTGTATCTGTTCACGAGACAATAGAGGATGTCAGCTTTAGAATCAACCACTAACCTACATCTTTTACAGTTTTAGGGTAGAAATATATCTCTGCCAAGAGCATATCTAAATTCCCTTTGATCTGTCATAAACAATATAAAAAAAATATTGCATTTATATAAAATTGTATTGCCAAATATGAAATATAATTTACAAGAAATTTTTATAATTGATTAACGATAAAAAAGGTTTCACTTTAAACAGATTTATAATGTACATTTATGTCGATATATGCAAAAATAATATATATAATATATTTTAAAAAACATTGTACAATTATAGGTGTATATAAAAATAATCAGATGGGCAAAGTATCTAGATACAAAAAGGTGGTATCTGTATCTATATACACTTTATAAAAATAACGATATCTGATATAGATTCTATTTCAAATTATCTGTATTTATTTTTAGATAATTTTGAGATAAATTTGGATATAATTTTATTTTACGTTTTTTATATTAAAAACTATAAATAAATTCATTTAATAATATGTTAAGAATTTTTTAAAAAATATATAATAATTTTTAGATCAATATTTCTATACAATCTTTGAAAAAAAATAATTTAATATTATATTTTTTGGTCACCTCTCAGATGATATAAATTTTGACACTCATCAAGTTTTGAATAATTTTGTAAAAATGAGTGTCGAGATTTTAATATATTTAATGATTATACCAATATAAAGATGTTATTCATCAGTGGCGTATCCAAGATTTTCTTATGGGTGGGGGGATTTTTTTTTGGGGGGGGGGGGGCTTTGCCTTCTAACCCCTTTTACCTGGCCTTCGGCCGGGTCTTATGTTTTAGCTATTCTATTAAATTATTCATAATTTAATAATAATTATATTTCTATTTTTATCTATTATTTACTAATTCTTGCTTATGGATATTACAAGCCTATTTTTTATTATTTCAAGTTAGGTATACTATATTTAATAAAGTTTTTTTAAATGTAAAGTTGAAATAAAGTGTAATGTCATTTTTTTTATAAAATTTGCTTTAAAAACTAGCCTCAGCTTAAATTCTCATACAATATAAGTAGAATATAATTTTTTTATTGAAAATACTAATAGTAGTGTGTATAAAATATTGACTAGAAAATAATTAAATTAACAAGTTTTTTTTAACTTCTTATCAAATACAATATTATTCAAAATATTTTAATTATAATGTGATTTTTAATTTTCGTGGGAATGTTGCCAATTCATCAAGAATTTCGTTTGTCGTTGGAACCAAATCTCTGTGGATATTTAACAGAGCTAACCCATTTAGCTGAGATTCAGTACTTCGTAAGTATGTTTTCAACCTTCTCAAGTTGGAAAAAGTCCTTTCATTCGTACATGTTGTAATAGGCAAACATGCAAGAATATAAAACAACTTCATAATATTAGGAAATTGAGCCATGGTTTCTTTACACCGATTGAGCGCATAGTAAATATTTATACTACAATTCGAATTCACTGATTAAATTTATTTCAGTATCAATCTCATAGGAATAAAATTTTGCTAAATATTTAATTTTACCAATAGTGGCATTAGAAAACGAAGAAGGATCTTTGGGTAATAAAACTTGAAGATTGCTAAAGACTTGTTTTTTATCTAAAAACCGTACTTTTATTTGCGATAAAAAAGTATCTAAGAATGGGATGAAAATGGATATTTTATAATCTTCAGTTGAGCCAATATTTATTTTACATCTCAATAATGGCCTAGGTGCTAGACGAGGTTTAATTAGTGTTATATCATAAAATTTGGCCTTCGATTCAACGTCTAGATAAATATTATGAAAATATTTATCTACATTCATTCTTATTGTATCTACCTGTTCATATATATTTTCCGCCAAATCAATAACCTGAACCAAATCTAAACTTGGTTTTCGCAAATTTCTACAAAGCTAAAAATAATTTATTGATGCAACTATCAGCAATGATAAACTCTGATTGATCAATTGAATTTAATAATGATATCGCTTCTGACGACACATTACTTTTTTTCATGCTCAGCCTTATTTAACTTTTGTATTTCTATTTCTTCTGTTTTACAAAATGGAAGTAAAAATGAAAAATATTTAAAAAATTATAGATATTTATTAATAATTAAAATATTATTAAAAATACTTATTAATTCTAACTCACTAATAATTTGAATTTAATAAAATAAATATATATAATAGCAATAAAATCCTAAATTAAGCATTATGTACACCTCACATAAGTATTTAAAAAATTGTATCTGTACCTAGAACCATTTGAAAAGTATCTTTTAAAAACTCTGAAAATTATATTACCAAAAGGTAAAAAGAAAATATTTTAATTTATATGGGTAGGCACTCGCTGAAAATAACCCATTCGCCCATTAAAAATTATTTTTAAACAGCTCACCCGCCTACCCTTTGTCTCACAATTCTAATAGGTGTGTATTCGTTTGGTTCTAATCGGATTTTAATTATTTAAACCCATCCGATATTATTATCCTAACTGAATATTTTAATTTGAATCGAAACTCGTGATGATTCGAATTCCTATTATATTAAAGTGAACCTCGCTTCTTTATTAAATCAATTTCAAAATATATAATAAACTACTATCATCAATATAACTTTTTATCGTTCGATATATCTGCCTATAACTTTGCTACCTTTATTAGCATAAAAACGTTTATAAAATTGATTTGTAGTATTTTGGAATTACGATGAAAATGATAACGATTACTATAGATGATTTTTTAGTATGACAGAAATAATTCTAATTATGGCGCGTTTCTATACTTCAAACAATGAAAAGATAAAGTATCAATTCCATATTGAAAGTATCACTTCAATGGTATAAGCTCACTAGGACATGCCCCGCCTAAATTATTTCATTTTCAGGAAGCATTCTCTTATGAAAGTTTTTATTAGTAACCTAGATTATTTTTTCAAATTTATAGCGTCCATTTGCATTACATTGGAAAAAGGATAGGGGTTCGATAAATTTGGAAAGAGAGTAAAATGAAAGATATAAAACTTAGCCAACCATATTTGCAGTTGGGGTAAAAAGGCTAACAGCAATCTTTTGTTCTTAACAGATTAATGTATTGATCAAAAGATGTATATTCAAATACATACTTATTACCATATATTTATTTTAGTCTCACATTCACAAGATATTGAACAAAAATAATTTTTGGCCCGTTTTTCACTACAGGGTTTTGCAGATTTAATTTAAAATATTTTCATATAATAATTTTTTGCAGGTCAAATAATTTTATTTTTAAATAAATTAATAAATATGAAAATGTTTTGAATTATCTCTGCATAACACTGTATTTGGGTATTTTTTAGTGAGGTAAAAGTATTCTTACAAATTTAATGAAAATTATATGACATATTTTCTCTTAATTAAAATTAGTTCCTAGTTCTCGCATCTAAAAAATCTAAAGCAATTTTGTTTAAGCCTCCCCCCCCCCAAGCTATATACGTCAATAAGATAATTAACAAATAAAACAGATTTAAATTACAAAATTATTCACAATTTTTCTATAGATTGATTGCAATTAAATAGACGAAAAATTATGGATGACAATAATCCCAGTGTTAATACAGGGAAAATAGCTAGCCAGAATAACATATATGAAACATGAAGATATATTGTTTAAAATTTAACCTCCAATTTCATAAAGTGGCCAGTAGGATTGAAAGGAAAATTCAAAAAAATAAAACAAAGGTGAAATTTAAAAAAGGCAAGAGCAAGAAGTAGTGTACTGTTTAAAAGAACCAAAAACAAAAAATAATAGTATTTTTTTAAAAAAAAACAGTAAAAAGTAAAATAAAAAATAGGAAAATAAATATTAAAAAATAACATTATTAAAATTAGAGTTATTTCTTTAATTTTTTTTAAACTATATTAAATTAAAAATATCCTAAAACAAGAGCAAAACAAAAAATTAAGGTCAAGACGAAATATTCAAAAGTTTCTGTTTTTTTGGTGACTAATTTGGAAGTTATGCGAGACTTTATCGATTTTCGGTCAAGCTTTTATTCTAATATCGGTCTTCGATCCGGTTTTTATTACGAATATTAAACAACAACCCAATTCTCCAACTCATATCAATTAAATATATTTAAACTAATATATTTTTATTTTGAAATTGAGTGTTATTCATTTTACTTTCTTAACTGATTTCAATGTATACATATATCATAATTGTAATATCATTTAGAATACACTTAAGGTCCGAGACACATTTTAACATATCAAATATAAGAGACTCATTAATTTAATTGAATTTAATTGATTTTATAAAATTTATTAAAATTGTTAAAGAAAAGATTGTGTTAAAAATGTAAAAAAGTATCATTTTATTACATTATATTAATTTAATAATATCTATGAATCAACAGACTTATGTATGGGTTGGATAAAAAGAGGGGAGGGGGTGATTTTTAAATATATATTTTATAATTATTATAGAATTTTAAATTCAAATTTTGTCAAATTTGAAAAGACATTTTGAAGAAAATCGATTTTGGGCAGTTTTTTTTATTGCTCAAAAAAGTTTGTAAGTTTACCTAAGACCTAAAAATATGTGACTTAACTTATTCAAGAATTTTTATTTTTAAATAAACAAATATTTTTCATAACGAATAAAAGATATTACATAAATCACGGAGTAATATAATATATAAAGGTCGAGTTTATGTAACAGCTATATAGTATAACATTCTACAGTTCTTATTTTATTTTAACAAGTAGATGGAGTCAATAAATTACACTAATTGTTTTTGTAGAGAAACATCATTAGCATCTATGCACAAATGAGTATTTATTATTTGAATTGATAATCATAATTAGATCAACAAGAACATTTACAGGATTCGATTATAGGGTATTGAACGAATATCCAAGAACAATAACTTTTGGACTCCCAATTTTGGCAATACCATCTTAGTATGGTTAAATTGATGGTAGTACTAGGCCTGCAAATCATTCCTGGAGGAATGGAACACGATCGCACTTTGTCATTACCGCCATCTGCTCTTTCGTTATTAGCCATAATGAATTTAGCACCATCAGACAGCTTTAAGTCTATTACGTTATTATGGTTAGTATCCTCGCCATTTCGATCTACATTGTTATCGCTGTTATAATTAATATAATCATTCTCTTGATTATTAACAGAGGTGTGTAAATGATGAATAGAGTTAGTTGGAAATATATGGGGACTTTCATTACCAGAGCCATAACATTGCCCCTCTAGAACCCAATTAGGCCAAAATCGTTTGCCAATATTTTTCCATCTATAAAGCACAGGACAAGATGTGTAAGCCTTGAGGTATTTGAATAATTTGCGTTTGATGCGCCTGGATACTCTAAGCCTTATCTTTCGTCTCATACCAGCCATTTTGAAGTTCATGTTCATGATCTTTTTTTTAAATCGATTGATCAATTTTTTTTTTCAATAGAAATTAGGAAAAATTGTATTCTTTTAGTGATAACGTATGACTTAAATGAAAATGAAAGCGTAAAAATTTTCAGCACTGCCACAAAGTATTTTAAGATAAAATCGTCAAAATAGTAATTTAATAAAAATAAAACAATTAACACATAGAAGTACAAAACAAAAATATATCTTACCTTATACATGGTTATTCTATTCCCACTTGGTAAACCCCTACTATTTTGTCTAAACCCAAAATAAATAGTTCCATTGGGGTGGGATATCGAATCTTGCGGCCTAAACGCGCTCATGTATCTATGATCATATCTCCTTCCCAAGAGAGCTTTTAGTTTTCTCGGGTTCAAATCGGTCGGTCTAGGGTCGTATTTGGGATCTGGGTTCTCTTGAAGATCCGATATAGGAAGTAAATATTCGCTAGAAGACGGACGAACTATCAATTTCAAATCGGGTTCATTAACACGTTGATTTTGGTTATCAAGATTCTTGTTGTGATCATAGGCCTCGGGATTGAGTTGTAATTTATCGTTTTGAAGCAAAGTGTTCAGGGGGGGGAGAACAAATTTTTGAAAATGCTGATTATTATTCATCATATTGCGACTGCCCCTTAAGAATAGATGGTCATTGAGGACTTGAGGGTCATCGCCTAACATCACATTTGCTAAATCGGTCTCTGGATTATAGGAATCTTTTTCATTATGATTGCCTTTTTGACGTGATAAGTTCCAGTTTATGAATTTTATATTGATGGATGATTGAGCAGGTTCATCTTTTAGGAATTGATTTGTTAGATTGTATGAAGACAAAGTAAAGGGTTTTATAAAATAATGTTTTTTGATATTTGAATAATTATATCGATTTTTTAATAATGGAACATTATTAATTTTAAATTTATTACAATTTTTGACCTCTAAAAGCTTTTTATTGTAACTATGCTCCATTGTTGTATTCGAAACATATTTATCTCCATTTTCTTTTTTTGATTCGTATCTCCAAGAATTTATATTCAGTATATCTTCATAGTCTTGGGCTTCTACATTTGTTAAGGAATTTTGACCCTCGGTTAAACCCTGCGTTCGTTTTATTTGAGTAAAAGAATGTGCTGAACAATAACTGAATAGTACGTTCGAGAAGAAGGTAAAAATAAACAATACAAGCAATACTTTCGGAAGGCTTTTTTCTTTAAAACCCATACTTATCATTATTTCCTTAAATTTTTTTCTGTTATTTATTACGTTCGGAATATTATTTTAAAAAAATTTTTAGGGAAAAAAAATTTAGACACCAAAATTGAATATTATAAACATTTTTGATATTTTCTTTTTATCATTTATCGGATTTCTGATTATATTTTAAAAAAAAATACTCTCTATATATTTGGATCATTTCCATTTTTAGACCAAAGGGCGGAATGAAGGATCAAAAAAAAATGTTACATTTTTGGGATTAATTTTTAAAAAAAATTGTATAAATTGGAAACCTATCAATTTTGAATTTATTTTAAAATAATTTTTAAGGTTACAAACATTACAATAATAATATATACTTAATTTTTTAAATTAATTGATTTCCACTTAAGCCTGGTCACGTATTTTGTGATTGCTTGTTAATTAAATTTTAAAAAATTATATAAATAAAATTAATTTTCAAAACGTTGGATGTAAAAATGTATTTTTTTATATTGTGAATGAAAGTCTTTTTTATATTATTATTACAAACAAAAAATCTTTTATTACTTAGTAACCATCCCACATATTACTAGTTAGTTTCCGATATATTATAAAATACAGTATAGTTATATTTATATTTTTTATCAATTTATATAACACAAACTTGCCCATAATAATAATATAAAAAAATCTTTTGTATCGTAAAAAATAAGGTATAAAATATAGGTTTTTTTTAAAAAAAAATAATTTAAAATGATATATAAATATATGTAATCATAATAGTTTTTAAAATTTTTTTTAGTTTTTTATAAAATCTTTAAAATTAAATCGATAAGTTATTTATACTTTTTATACATTTTTTTTAGAGAAATAAAAAAAAATTTCTATTATATCGTCCTTCCTCCTGACCCTCTTTTCATTTCTCCTTTGAATTAAAAATATATAAAATAAATATTATGTATATATCAATTACATGATAATTATATATCAAAAATTAATGATGTATGTTGCTGTTAACAAATACACACATGCTAAAAATATAGACGACAGACAGTTAGTCTAATATTACGCAATTGAATAAATAATGACAATTTTATTTATTTATTGTTCTTTGATAAAAAATATTGTCAAAAAAATTTGTTAACAAGTTATACTTTATTTATAAATTTCAAGAAAATTATGACAATTATGTCCTTTAGTAACTAGTACAATTATATGTGCTTTTATGATAAAATAGAAAGTTTTGGATGGATAAGGAATTGTTTTATAAATCAAAGAGATTTTGTATGACTAATAGGTGATTTTTTTTCGTTTAGCAATAATATTGTAAAGTTTATCTAATAAAGCAATATATTTTACTAATGTACAGAAAATGTATCAATTATTATGGATCAAGAATATAACCTACGCTAATTGATATTAATTAATATTGAATTTTTATAAATACTTGAAATGTTTATAACTAGTTAGTCATATTGGCAGACTAAGATGAATTGAGAAATATATTTTTCTCTCAAAGTAATAATGGATGCAAAATTATACCTAAGTAATGTTGGCTCAATCTATGGGCACGCTGAAAATTCACTAAGACGCATGTTAATATTTTTTACCTTCTTTAAAGTTGTGCTATGATATTTTTTTTAACCCATGGCTGAGGTTATGGGTTTCGACAAATAGAGTTTATTTGCTAAGGGGGCGGATTACCATGTTTTGATTGATCTCTTTTTCTTTCTAGCAGTCTCAAATATTGACATTTTCTTGTGGCCTCGTGAGCAAAATGCCTTATTTGCTCTTGAACACTTTACCAAGGATTCAGGTGAGATAGTCCAATCTTATGTAGGATATATTTAGACACCTACAAGCCCTTCTGATAGCCCGATTTAAAAATTCCGGAAGCCTCACTGAATTTTTTTAAAATTAATTTTAAGAAAATATTAATTAATAACCAGTTGGAAGATCATATTAATTAACCATTTAACATTCATTTGTTTCTACAATCTTCAATTTTTTCCCTTTAAACAATTTACAAAATAAAGCTAAAATTATTTAAAATAAATTTTTTAAATCCGTTAGTATAGGGCCAAATAAAAAACAAGAGCTGTATTGAAAATGAGAATTTCTTGGGATTACAAATTCGACTTCCGGTCTTTTATATTTTATATATGACAGAGTTAAGGGTTTGTTTGCTATTATTTATTTGTATGTGATTTATTTTAAAATTTTTTTATTATATTCTCGTAAGCATAACCTTATGTTATTTGGCATAAGATGGTAAAAATTTATCCCCGTTTATAGCTAGCCCAGCTATATGTACGAAATATAAGTCAGAACACAGGCTGGGTGGTATTTTAATTTTTTTAAATATGCCCGGACCGGGCCTAAAAATTATTCTCAAATACACGGGGCCTAAAAATTTTTTTGAAAAAATACCTAAAGCCGAATATTTTAAATCGTCATTATTAGTTATAAAAATTAAGAATAAATGTAATATATTTTTAAAAAATCCGGACCGAGCCGATAAATTTTTTAAAAAAAATCCCTGCCGGATCCTGCAAATGGTCCCTCTGCAAGTCTCTGATCTGATATAAATAATACCAGGCGAGTAATCAATGAGGGAGAAAGGGGAAAATTTACTCTCCCATCCCAAATTTTCTGTTCTCGTAAATATCACTGTAAGCTAATAAAAAATTACCCCTCCACACCCCCCTCTCCGCATAAAATGTATATAATATAACATTGATAAGGAAGAATTTGAAGAAAAATTAGTAAAAAAAAAAACTTTTTAAAACAACGACTACACAAAATGTTTACAAAAAGGATTTTAATTCTAAAAAAGGGAGAACCCAAAATTATTTTTATAAAAAATGACCAAAGCCTACAATACGTGTACCTGAAGATCTCCAATGAAATTCTTAGGAAATAAATCCATCTAATAGTGTTCCACTCCTCTTGGAAAAATCCTGGATATGCCTATGAATAATATATTTTTAAATAAACATTAAATTCCTTTATCTTTCCATGCTGAGAAATCATCTTGAATTCAAAAAAAATGACTGATTGTTAGCAAACAAAATTGGGACGAACTTACCTAAAATATTTTTTCGGACCGAATTAAAACTATTAGGGGCCGAACAAATAATTTTACAGGAATTTGAGTTAGCCATTACCCCCCCCCCCCCTTCCCCTCCAACTATTTTTAAAGAATTATTATCTAAAAATATTTATTTTATTATAGTCGGTAAATCTGATTTTTTTTAAATGATCTTAAAGGTAAATTTGTTCTGGTTAATGAGAAATTGATATTAAATAAAAAAAATAATTAAAAAAATACGTGTTATGTATGTTTTTTATATAAAAAATATAATTATTATGTTACAAATAAAGGTAAAGTTCTTTTTAGGGATTATATTATTATTAAAATTACAAATTTAAACAATCAACCATAGAAATTGTTTCATGTTTTATTGATGTAAAGAGCGAGGGTGATATTTTAATTTTAAAAGTAAGTAGGTATAGTTATAATAATCAATGTTAATCATAAAGTCTTAATTATTTGTAAATTTTATAAAGAGAACAAAAACATTAGATTGAATTTAAAATTGGGAAAATCAGGTGCATGAAATTATCCTGTATTTTTTTAAAAATTGTTTCTAAAGCTAATTTTTTACAAAACAGTTTTAAGTAGTGTTCCTTAAATCGGGGTTAAAGGTGTTTTTAAATTCAAAATTTAATATTTATAAGCTGTCCAAAATAGGACTTCTAAACTTTTTTTAAATCGGGTATGCCACAAGTCTACTTGACTACCTTTTCATGCCACGATAATATAAAAGTATCAAAGCTACAACCACATCAAGTCTAGTTTTTGTTAAACGATCCCATTTTGGTCGATTTTTAAAAACGACCCGATTAATAATTTGGCCAAAATAATAATATGTAAGACTAGAGATCTGGCAATTTTGGATCCAAACCTTTGTGTCATCTATGAACAAAATCTTCAAGTCTAATTCTATTATTTTAGCTAAAATCGTAATCGGGCCGTTTAACAATGCTAATCAAGTCTCATATTTTACAAGATGATATGATTTTTTATAATGATGATAATAGTAAAACTTATTTTAGATATTTATTTATTTAATTTTTTCAAATTGCTTTTGTACTTCTCGAATCTTCGTTCTACCTTGTTTAATGAGATTTAAATTACATCTATATTTATTAAACAAACTGAAAATGAAAATGAAAATAACATCTATTACGATCATAGAATCATAATCAAAAATGTCTTGAATCGGGGAAAAAGAAAAAGTAGAAATACTCACTAATTATTGACATAAATTTCCGAGATAATGTTTCCAAATGTTTGGCTAACTTTACGTCTAAAACACGATATCATAGTTAGTTTTTGGTTAACAATTCGGTTCTTTTTAATGGCTGGCGAAATTGATTATAGAATTAATAAAACACATTAACGCAAACCAGTTAGTAGAACTTATATTCTCCGTTCTGGCATGATACTTATTTTGACATTTTTATAATATACTAGTATATCCCTACTCATTACTGTTTAACAATGCATATATACACCACCTTTTTATGATATTTTTTTATGTCCCTATGAAGCCCTCAAAAATTCAAAATATTCTAAGTCAACTCATGAGCTAGTATGAAATTATTTTGATGAAAACTAGTCTGTATATTTTTTTATATATATCAATATTTCTCAATCAGTTATGAATTTTTAAATAATTAAAATTTTGATAGGTAATCACATGCATCCTACCATCTAGCAGTATAAATTATTTAAAAAATTTAAACAAATCAAATTTAGCCTATTATTTATATTATACCTAAAACCAGTACCGTCATTGCGGGGGGGGGGGGGGGGTTAAAATGCCCTAAAAATTTTGGAATTTTTTTTATACCCCAAAAAGGTCATTTTGAAGATGTTAGCTAAAAAAAAGGATCTTTGCTCAACTTTTTAAGAGGAACCAATTGAAGAATGAGATGTAGTTAAGATTCTACCAAAC